GTCAAATGGGACACATTATTTTTAAATATTAAATCATATGTTAATTGATGAATGTGGTTCAAAATTTTTAACTACTGTTTGTGTTTAAACTATATATATAAGTTCATTGAATTTTCAATATAAAAACCTATTTTTTTCATATTATTTAAATTTATAAATATATAAAAATAATTAAAATTTTATCAAAAATATTTTAATTACCAATAAAATGTCAAAAATAAATATAATTTTATCATAAGATAACAAGTAATATTTGAACTTATGTGTCATGTCATGCTAATCCATGTGTCACGCATTGGCACTAACCTTTAATGGATCACACTATGCTGACTCATAAGCCTAAGATCTTTTAGCTCAACATGACACATGTATATGTGTCATGCTTGATCTAGTACGATTGTTTAACAATGGGACGTGTCAAATACAGTCCATGTCATACCAAATTGTGTCTTGTTATTGGGCCATTTAGCCTATTTAATATCTCTACAGCTAGTAAAAAAATGAATAAGAGAAAAATAAAAAATATTAAAAAATATGGAATTCTCTGAAACTTTTTTATACATAATGTTATAACGTAATGATTCAAGGGGTCGATCACTAAATGTAAAAAATTAAGAATCACTACTAATCTTTTGTTAAGGTCCGATTGGCCACTATTCTTATTTTTTGATATGCAAATTCAAAGTTGGATTTGAGAGTATGATTACGTATGAGAAATGTTATAACACCCTCACGGTACCATCCGAAAATAGTACTAATTAATCTCATATGATCTTAAATTGGTCTCGTTCAAATAGTCTTTTACTTATTATTTTTATTATTTTTATTTTATTATTTTTATTATTAGAATATTGAAAAAATTTTAAGTTATTTCAGACACTTTCAAATTAACTTTAAAAATTTTCTCACTTTAAGAATATTCAAGAAATTACTTATTTTCTTGAAAGGGTTCTATCGTTGGATTTATTTTAATATTTTAAAAGCAAAGTATATTATAATTTCTTTATATAAATACTTATAGATTTAAGAATTTAGAGAAAAATTACTACTTGTGATTCCCTTTAATTTCATCATCAACGATAGTTATAATATATTTTGTAATGTTTATTTATTGTTTTATTTTATTATTGAGACAAGTAAAAGTTTTATTGGTTAAATTCCCTAAATATTTCCAACACTTTTGGATTATTTTGAGAAAATCTCTTGTTTAGGAATTTTGATAAAATCACTACTTGGGACTTTATCTCTATCCCATTAATAATTTTTTTATATTTGAAAATTTTTCAAATATTTCTAACACTTTTAGAATATTTTTTTATATAAATATTTTCACTAAAATCACCACTTGTGACTTTTTTTTATTAATATTTTTTATGCTCACAAAAATTCTAAAATATTTATAACATTTTCTGAATATTTTAGAAAATTTCTTTCTGTAAATATTTTTAATAAAATCACCCCTTATGATTTTATTTTTATTAATAATTTTTTTTTATACTTGAAAATTTTTAAAATATTTCTAACACTTTTAAAATATTTTAAAAAATTTCTTTTTGTAAATATTTTTAATAAATTCACCACTGGTGATTTTGTTTTTATCAATAATTGTTTTATACTTGAAAATTTCTAAAATATTTCTAATACTTTTAGAATGTTTTAGAAAAAATTTTATATAAATTTTTTAATAACATCATCACTGATTTTATTTTTTATTAATAATATTTTATTTATTTTTTTCATTATTTATTTTTATTCATTCATTATCCCAAATTTTTTTATTTATTGTTTGATTTTATTATTATTATATTTATTTTAACATATCCTAAATTGTAAATTAAAAATATTATAAATAACACAAAAAATAAATAATAGAATAAATAATAAAAAAGTGAAAAAGATAAAAATACCAAAATTTTCATTGGTCAACAATAGGCCAACGACAGTCAACGCCAAACAATTTGGTTTTGGTCCAAAAACGATTTAGCAACAATCAACTTCAAGCTAATTAGGTTCGGCATGGTTTTAGAGTGGTTCAGGCCAGTTTAACTCAATTTGAGGTGGTTCACTATGGTTTTATCCTGTTCGGAGTCTGTTCAATTGGATCGATCAAAGGTTGATCAGCTGCAGCAAGTGCTGAGTTAGATGTGTGAATCCCAAGATGAGTTACGGGCCCGTACATGGATCTTCTTGGTGAATATAGCAAATATTTAAATCATGTATTTAGCTTGGTATAAAAGTTACTTATAAAATGCCTTAAATGATAATAATAAAAACCATATGATTTTGCCTAGAGTAATCCATTCCCATTAACTACTTTTAGAATATCATTGTGGTGATTTGATATCAAATAAATATCTTGGCACTCTAGTACAATTTAATTTTTATATGATAAAGAAACCAACCCTAACAACTGAAATTTCTTCTTCCATAATAATGCAATAGTTAGTATTTGATTATTCCCAATTCCTATTGCAATCAACCGATCATCATCTTACCTTTATATTGTCCATATAAATGGGTAGCATCAATGCTCATAACTAGATGGCAATGCTTAAATCCTTTAACAAGATGGACCAAAAGCCCAAAAGACACAATGAAATCTAGCCTCATGTGTTTGTCATATGTTCTATACACTATTACACAATAACACCTTGATTATAGTAATGGAGTGCTACCATAAACTTAGGTTAGACTTATATTAGTAATCCAAATTACCAAAATTACCTTTTGTTTCTCCTTTTTTTAGTTTAATATTTTCATTATTTTTGCTCTCAAAGCTAACACTATGATGGATGGTTGTTTCTTAACAAGATATTGCACTTCATAGCAATCAAGATTGCATTTATATGGGATTAATTTTAACTAAACTCATAATACAAATAATTATGTGATCCATTGTATTACATAATTTCAAAAAAGTCAATGAGAACTGCACTTACATGCACGTGGTTTCCACCCACATCCAAATTCCAAACACTTTTTTACACCTTAAATCTCCAAATATTTATACATCTTTTCATCACTTCATAGTGTTGATTCCTTCTGAAAAAACATAATTTCACTACTTTAATAACTTTTTATTTGTCTTTGAAAATCAACCTTTTACATAATTCTTCATATGGAGTGTAACGATCTTTATTTGTTTGAAGTAACCAATTGCTCATAATTGTGTTATCTACCCCTTCCAAGTTAGAAGAACTTATAATAAATACCTCATGCAAAGCCTCGCCATATGAACTCGGTATTGTCCGATACTCATGCTCTATTGTTGTATCTTGTAACGGTATCCTTAACTGAGCAACAGGGGTTGAATTGTCATTGGTATCAAATATGCCTTTTTCTTCCTCTAACAAATTATATAAACTCAATTCCTTGTTGATGTCATTTTCACCTAATATAGTATTATTTATCATAGCATTATTATATAGATTAATCTTCTAAGTCATGGATGGTATTACATCTTAATTAATGCATTTACCAGCTAAACCATCATTCATTTTATTTATATAAAAAAGAATGAATAAAATGGGTTATATCTCAATTAATAAAATCCGTTGTTGTCTTTTGTGGCTTTTTTTTAAGTTGAAAAGAAAGAAAAAAAGAACAAAAATAAGTTTTTTTTTTTTTCAATTATGGTGGTTCAATGGGCTTTTTGGGAAGGACTCGTAGTGGTGGTGGTTGTGAGCCTTCGTTTGCTTACTTTAAATGATTTTGGATTTAATTGATTTGGATTAGGGTTGAATCAATCAGAAAAGGAAATCTTTTATAACAATTTTGGGTGAATCGGTTTAGGGTGAATCGATTTAGGAGTTAGGAAATGGATTAAGGATGAATTGTTTAAAATCTTATTTTTAGGATAATTGTTTGTATTTTTTAAGGTATTTTATCAATTAAAATCAAAAATATTTTCCACATTAAAGTAACATGTGATCACAATATATAATGGTTAATGTGAGACTAATTGCATGTGTACAACTAGGGACAGCAATCAACCCCGTCTCCGACGGGTTTCGGTCCGACTCGACCCCATAGGGTCGGGTTTTTTTTTTTAATTTCGGTTTTTGGGTCGGGTATAGTTAGGGAATAATCGGGGTCGGGTCGGGTTCGGGTATGCCTAAAATCCGACCCGACCCGACCCGACATTATATAAAAAATTATTGTTTAATTAATTAATTAATTAATTAATTATATATATATATATATTTTTATATAATGATATTTTTAAATATTTATATTTAAAAAATAATATTTTATATTTAAAAAAATAATATTTTATTAATTTCAAGTCGGATCGGATCGGGTACGATTTACATAATGTCGGGTTGAGTCGGGTTCGGGTATGCTAAAGCATAAAGTCGGGTCGGGTTCGGGGCGAGCAAAACCCGCCCCGAACCCGACCTGATGCCATCCCTATGTACAACGCCTGCTAAATTTCATCTATAAGAGTCCTTAATTGTTAAATTTCAAATACATAAGCCGTCGAATTATTAAAAATTTAAAAAAAGTCATCAATTGAATAATCCCACAAAAAATTACTGACTAAATTAAACATCTAACCTTTAAAAAATTGCGTAGACTATTGAATTAGAGAGGTCTCTCTTTAGCTGGCTTTTGGTTCTACGTTATGGCCCATGGGTTCATAGCATAAATCATCCACAAAATCTTGGATAATGAAAATGCTTTTCAAGATATTTTGAACCATGAAAATTTTCATAATCATTCATGGCCAAATCCGAATACATAAGGGGTTGATTTATTAAAAATTTAAAAGTCAAGTCATGAATTGAATAATCCCACAAAAAATTATGGACTAAATTGAACATCAAACCTTTAAAAAATTGGGTGGACCATTGAATTAGGGAGGTCTCTCTCTAGCTGGCCTTTGGTTCTACGTTATGGCCAATGGGTCCATAGCATAATCATCCACAAAATCTTGGATAATGAAAATGCTTTTCAAGGTACTTTGAACCATGAAAATTTTCATAATCATTCATGGCCAAAACAAGGGATGAATAATGAAAAAAGAAAAACAAAGGATGAGTAATGAATCATACACAAAAATACAAGAGTAGCATACGTTGACACTGACACAACAAGGTGATTGGTCTGTTGATATATATGGATGAGAATAAAAAAACATAAATTGTGAAGGTGTTGGCTGTAAGCTGTCCATCCATATTCTTATAGTGACAGACAGGACATGAGATGGCAAAAGGTAACAAATCATCTTAATGGCATAACCACTTTTGAATAGCCTCTCCCACATCGCAGCTTGGTTTTATATATACACTGAATAATGCCATTGCCCAAAACTATCAAGGAAGAATGGACTTTAAGATTATCACTTCCAGACAGGATGATGAAGATGATGAGGAACATCTCACTCATCATGGTTCATTACAGGGTGGGAAGTCTAGTATTGTTGCTGAAGCACTGGAAAGAAGAAATAAACACTGGTTAGTTCTTACTCTCTCAGTCCTTATCTTTTTCTGAACATTTATGTTTGTCATTCTAAAATCAATTGATTATATATAGGTGAAAAAGGTTCGATTTGGTTTATCCCCAAAAGAATAAAAGAAAAAGGTTCTATTTGAATATTAAATTACAAAAAACCTTAATATTTAATATATATATGAAATAATATCACTTTAACGTATCACATCCTTGTAAATAAAGATAAAAACTTAATAAATTTGATAGAGATAACGGACATAGGTAACAAATAAAAATAAATTTCTGTTTATGTCGGTGAAAAAAACAATTTATTACGTAACAATCTTGAAAAGAATAATAAATAAGAATAACAATTAATAGTAATATAAAATTAATTAATTATAAGTAAAAGATTCAATTTAAATTTAAAATCATAAAAAATTTAATATTTAGCAAACATGATATAGCACACTTTAACAATATAAATGTTTCTAATATTTCCTGTTTTAATTTTATAGTAATGATTTAAATTGTTCCCATGCAGGATTGTTAAGACAAAAGTTCCCAGTGATTTGATTGTGCAGGTTGGAGATTATAGCTTTCACTTACACAAGGTGAGCAACAAACGTTCTTCTCTTTTAAAGTGAAGCATGGAATTAATTTAGAACATACCAAGTTCAATTCTAAAAGATCTCAAACATTAGAACCTGGATGCCAGACGGACATAACTTATTTTTGTAAACATTTTTAATGTACTATATATAGGAAGTATTACCAAAAGTTAAGGTTTACATTTGGATTGGACTTAACGATTTAGGCCCTTTTTGGTATAATTGCACTATTTGAGGCTATTTGGGATCTTTTGATCATTATATCCCTATTTTTAATCTTTTCGTTCTTTTTTTTTGTTTTTTATTTTTATTTTGTTTTTATATTAAATTAAATTAAATTTTATATTTCATATGTAATATTATTTTGTTAAATAAATACCAAAAAAAAGTAACTAATTGAATATTACTTTGTTAAATTTTAATTTGTGTAAATATAGTACATAAAAAATAATTTTAGTAATTTTTAATTATTTATTAACTATATAAATGATAAATAATTTAAAATTTTTATCATTCACAAATTTTAATTTAATATCTTTAATATTATCTCTTCTCACTACAATTCACCTTAAATGTTATAATCGTGTTTGCATTTAAATATATATTTTATAATTAATTTTAATTTCATTGTTAAAGTATTTAGTTTCACCGTTATAATAATTAATTTTACGGACATCATTTTTAATTTCACTAAAAATAATTTCACCACTTATAGACTTTAAGAAAAGAAAGTTTTAACTTTAATATATTTAATATTAATTTTTAAATTTTTTTATAAAATTAAAGTTTCATGATTTTAACATTAAAATATAAAGACATGAAAAAAACACTTTTAAAATATAAAAAATAACAGTTTTAAATGTTTAAAATATATATTTTGGAGACAAGAAAAACAAAAAAATGGGATGGTAGATAATAAAATTTACCAACCACCTTGAACAAGTTCAATTTAAATGACTGAGCCTAAATTAGGATTATTATTAAAGTATTAGGAAATATTTTTATATTTTCAAATATATTTTAGAATTAAATTTCAATTAATTATTAATATAAAATATTTTTGAACAAGTCTTAGCCTAAAACATCATATCCAGGCCCCATCCGATTGGAATTAGGCCTGTCAGCCTATGGGCAAAGCTTGACTCGTGGGCAACTTATTCCTTTCGTTTATAACCACTTCAATGCTTAGGACACCTAAAATATTATAGCTACAAAATAGATAAGTTTATGGAGGATATCTTTCACAAAATTATCTAATTTTTGTAGAATAATATTTAAATGATCGATTATTAGGATGGCGTAGAATAGATGCATCAAATTATGTTACAGAATTTTAAAATTTAGTCAAAGAAAAATATTTATATATCATGTTATGATCTTCAGCTTGCTATTGTCTCGAAAAGTGGTTATCTGAATAGACTTATATTTGCAAAAAGAAGTGAGGGAGAGAATGGAGGCAGCCTCAAGATTGTGCTGGATGATCTTCCAGGAGGAACCAAGAGTTTTGAATCAGTTGTCAAGTTCTGCTATGGATGGAAGATACATGTGACAGCTACCAACGTTGCTCCACTCAATTGTGCTGCAAATTTCTTGGAAATGAGTGACGATCTTCAAGAAGGAAATCTCATTTCAAAAACAGATGCATTTATGAATTTTGCAATTTTATCATCCTGGAAAGACACTTTTCAGGTACTCAAAAGCTGTGAATCTGTATCACCTTGGGCGAAAGAGTTACTGATTGTGAAGCGTTGCTCAGATGCCATTGCCTGGAAGGCCTCAATTGACCCAAAAGCTTTTACTTTCGGACAAGATCATAGCAATGAAAACTTGAAAGCTGGAGAATCAGCTGACAATTGGTGGTTTCATGATGTTTCAACCCTTCGAATAGATCATTTTATCGAGGTGATTGAGTCGATTAAAAGACAAGGGATGAAATCAGAGCTTGTTGGATCATGTATAGCTCACTGGACTGCAAAATGGTTTTCAAGAATCACATTCGGATTCGATAACCTAACAGTATCCAAGCATCTGACTCAAAAACTACAAAGAATTACAATTGAAAGTATAATTAAAATACTTCCCATGGAGAAAGATTCAGTTTCATGCAACTTTCTACTTCACCTTCTCAAGTTGGGATTAATAATGCATATTGATTCTCAAGTATTGAGCAAGCTGGAAAGAAGAATAGCTTCCATGTTGGAGCAATGTTCGGTTCAAGATCTTTTGGTTAAGAATTATGGAGATGATCAGGATACTATACATGATGTTGGAATTGTGATTAGGGTGGTTAAAACTTACGTTTTCTTTGGCCTCAGAAATTCTGGGACAAGACTATCCATTGTTGGAAGATTGGTGGATGGTTATCTTACTCTAATTGCAAGGGATATCAACCTTCAAGTTAATGATTTCAAATCACTTGTAGATGCATTACCAACAAATGCTCGATCCTGTGATGACAACCTTTATAGAGCCATAGACATGTACCTCAAGGTATTATTGTTATTTTCTAATCATTTTCAATACATGCATCATTAGTTAAATCTCCCGTCTTTATATGTAATATATTTACGAAATAATTATTCCATATCAACATATATTCCTCAACCCAAATCAAGTCTTGTAATATCAATTTTTTTTAAAAAAAATTATTTATAATAAGAATTATTAATGATTTTGTTAAAATAAATATTTATCATTTAATTAGCACATGTAATATGTGTAATGAATAATTATTTTTTTAAAAAAAGATTATGTGATATGATTTGAATGAAATGAATATATATTAAGGTGAAGCAATTGTTTCATAAATTCTTCATTTAATTTCAAGTTTATGCAACAACTGGGCAGGCACACCCAAATCTAACAGAGGAAGAAAGAACAAGTGTATGCAGAGCAATGGTATATCATAGATTATCACAAGATGCACGGCAGCATGCAACGAAGAATGATCGATTGCCCATGAAAATTGTAACAGAGTTCATGCTTCTTGAGCAAGTAAAAATGGCTAGAGCAATGTCAGTTATCGAGTCCCATAATCAAAGGACAATGACTAAGACAACAATAAAAGTAAATAGAGGTTTAGATAGGGAAAGCGAAACACCTCAAAAGGAGATCAAGATGATAAGAAAAGAGGTGGAGAATATGAAGATGCAACTCAATCATTTGCAAATGTGCAAAATAAAGCTTCAAAAACAAGTTCAAAGATCATGCATCAAGTAGATGATTGAGCTTATTGCTTTTGATAATTAAACTACTTTTATTTCAAGGAGCATGTGTGTTAGTTGTAGACTAAGTAGTTTTACATGGCGGCCGGGGTCGCATGCAGCTTTGTATGTGTATTCAGGTATGGAGTGAATTGAACCCCTTCAACTTTGAAAAATAATGCAATATATATATATATATATATATACATTTTCATGAATTTTTTTTTTACATTGATTTCACTAAATTGTTGCATTAAAGGGAAATAAATGTAGAATAATGAAACTTAATTCTAGTGACAGTGATATATAAATTTCACTAAATTTATTTTATAATTCTCTTCATTTTATTTTGTAAAAAAAAAAATACTAAAAAATTATTTTTTATTTTGATAAAACTCAAGAATCAAAATAATTTTTACTAAATAAATTTTATTTATTGTACTTAAATGACCTACATTTGATTACTTTTTTTTTTTTACCTCTTACAAAAATAAAAAACAAAAATAATTTTATAATTAAAAAAATAATCTTGACGTCAAGAAAAACTAAAAAACAAAAAGCATCTACTAAACATTTAATAATAGCCGTCGCTTAATATCAGGACTCTCATTGTTGATAGCCTTACCTTTTTCATTTTTTTTTTGGTAAAGAGAAAAATACCAAAAGCCCTTCCTTTAAAAAGTAAAAGGAAATTCCACAAAACAAATCGTTTAAAAAAGAGTCAAAGAACGCTAGTCAATTTCCAAATTTGGTATCCCCACCCCAAAATCTTTTGCCTTCGTCACTTCCATTTATGCTGACATCACTTTTTAATTCAGCTCTTGCATCTGCGCTATATGCCGGTGACCTCTCTGATTCCGGTTGTTTCTTCAAGTGTGTTTGGTTAATTTGTCGAAGTGTTTTTGCTTTTATTTTATTTTTTATTTTCTTAAGTTTTGATGACTTTTGTTTAAATCAGCTGCTCACCATAGCAGCTCAAATTCCATCATCGCCATTACTCAAATGAGAAAGATTCTTGATTTCACCTTTAAATGCCCTTTTCTATTTCGCATTTTCAAACAGCAGGCGAAATCGATCATCCGGTTATCGAAACAAAACGTCGTCGAATTGGACCAAAAACTCCATGTCCTTCAAATAATTGATTTCAAACTCCTCCATAATGTTTCTGGCAAAGAATACATCACTCCGGTAATGCTATCTCTCTTTCTCTTTTATTTGGTTACGAAAAAAAATGAAGAAAAATAATAATAGAGACTGTTTAGTTATTTCTGGGTTGTATTATGAATTTTAACGACTGTTTGGTTCCCATGAAAACAAGAAAAACTTGTTGGCTACGTGTTTAATATTATTTTGTTGCCATACAATGTAATATTTGATTTATTACATATGGGTTTTTTTTTAAAATTTTATGATTGTGATGATCTATTGCATTGTAGGAGCAATTAAGGCATGAAATTGTCTGTTTTATGGAACACTTTGTAACAACTTTTGCAAGATATAGAAGGAGCCACTGGTATAGCGGTCGATGGTTCATTCTTCCAATCTCTTTTTAATGAGTTGGTTAAGGAAGGTGAGGTTCTTCGAACACTTTGTGCAGGAGTTCATTGGACTCCAAATGTATGTGACATGATCTTCTTATTGTTTTATGTTTTTCTGGATTCACATTATAGAATAAATAAATTCTAATGGCTATTAAAATCCCTTCCCTAAAGGAAGTAGGGTAAGGTTTTTGATCATAATTGGTTAGTTTGGACTAGGGTTTAAAAGTTGAACTTTGAATGAATAAGTGGGGTTCAATCATAAATGCCATTCTGCTGCTTGCATAGCATTGATTCCCAGATTCGCTGCCTTGTTTATCAAGAAATCTACAAAAGCTCCAATAATTCAAAGATTAAGCAAATGTGACTAGTGTAATACTACTTTTTTAGAATGCCAAATTTGGAAACTTATCACTATCATTTATTCAAAATGATGTAGAAGTTCTTTTAATTTATCATATTTTTATTATTGAAGAAATGTGTTAATGTTTGTTATTGCTCATTTTTATTGTTTCAAAAGCTTACAAGTTTACTCTACATGGCTACGTCAATACTGATTTTGATATTGCTTCCTATTTTCTATATTTTTTATTATTTGTATAAAAGGTAACAACTCTAATTTCAAAAATTTTCTGCTTGATTGAGTCCCTGACACAATATTTAAAATTTTTATTTATTTTGCAAAGATATGAAGAGGGGACCCAAGTAGAGTTGGCAGCCCAATCCGAACTCAACGGGTTTCGAGCCGACTTGACTTCATAGAGTTCATTTTTTTTTTTTAAATCGGGTTTCAGGTCAGGTCAAGTATTAGTAAGAAAAAATTAAGGTTAGATCGGATTCGGATTTTAGACAAACTCGACCCCGACCCAATACTATATTAAAAATTATTTTTTAATTTTTTATTTATATATAATTATATAATTATATATTTATATTTAAAAAATAATATTTTATATTTTAAAAAATAATATTTTATTAACTTCGAATCAAGTCAGATCGAGTTGGATTCAGATATTAAAAAATAAAAAAAATTCAGGTCGAGTCGAGTACGGATTTTATAATTATAAAATCGGATCGAGTTCGGGGCGAGCAAAAACTCACTCCGACTTGACTCGTTGTCAACCCTAAACCCAAGTGCTAAGGTGAGTTTCACAAGTTGGACAAAAAACAAAACCTTCATAGTTGGTAATGGTATTTTGCATTTTGCTTTGACCTTCTATTCATTCTCCCTATAGTTGATTAATTATTTTAGTGGTTGCTTTGCATATTAACCTTCTGATAAAAACCTATCCACTTTTCAATTAGCAATAGTGTGGTTTGAACAACAATAGCATAAGTTCCAAGGGTTTGATTTGCATATCTCTTTTTGTCATTTATGTCATTGGAAAGAAATGTTTGGTCTAAAACACACTCCATTATTAAATATGAAAAGTAAATTTTTACTAATATAATATATATTATACTATATTAGCCAAAAGCCACTTTTCATATTTATAGATAGATAGATAGATAGTATGGTCAATATAATCAAAGGCTATTGTTAGTCTTTGTTATCCAAAAAAGGAGAAGAAAAAAGTTGTTATTCTAGTTAATAGCTTATTTTGCTTCTATTTTAGAATTCCTTTATTATATTTTCTTTTGCATAATAAATTGTTATCATAACTTAACTACAAAAGTTGGAACATTCTCTTTTTTTATCTGAAAGCTTTTGTAAATTAAAAGATTAATATTGACACTGTTTTGATATTTTCCACGTAGATAAAGTAGATAAAATAGCCTCGGATCTGAAAAGCACAAATGTGAGACTTAGAGATACTATTAACCAGGTAAATTGGATTGTCTTTCATTTTTTTGAATTTGGATGGAAGTTGCTTTTTATAACTTCTCTAATTTTCACAGTATATTTTGATTTTGTTCAGCTGTGTATCTTTTCGCAACTATTGCATTGATATCATCCTTCTGTGTATAATTCTTGAAATCGGTACCTATTTATACAAGCAAATTTTCTTATTTTATTTTAATTATATACTATGAAACATTGAGTATTTACATATTTTAGTATTTTTTTTTTTGAAAACTTTTTTTACTTAAAAACTTTTTATACTAATGTGCTTTGCCTATTCCTACTTAAGATCGTAATTGGTTTCTTTAGATTCACATTAATAAATGTAGGTTAACAAACATGAGATGCAAATTTTAGCTTTAGGAGAATGTGTATCTAGATTTAAATATATCTTTTCTTGTGTTTGTATATGTACTGCATGTATATGCATTTGTTATATTCCTAACATTCAATTCAATGCTACTGCTTTTCACATCAATTTCAGGTCCATGTTTTAAATTTGATTTCTGTTCTTCTTGGCCATGTCAATGAAGTCATCCTATATACAATTAACTTAATGGATGTTTTCCATACAGTATGTTGTCATTGCTTTACCTATTGTTGGATTATGTTAGTATCAGAACCAAAACTACTCTGTCTCCAAATTGAATTCAATAATGGATAAATGTAGATAAAATTAACTCTTATTAATATGAATTTTTCATTAATTTATGCAGATTCAAGCTTTGTTTCCCTTTTTATTTACTCTATTCTTGGGAGTTATAGACATCTTATTGTTGGTCCGGTGTCCATTGCATCTTTAGTCATGGGCACAATGCTAAGTGAAAGTTCTCGTGGAAGCACAGGCCTTCGCATGCTGCAAAATAAGGCTAGCACTCAAGGTGGTAGTGGAACACTTAAGGTAGGAAAGGATTCTTATTGATTTTGACTGTGTATTGCTTGGTTATCTTGCTAATCTATCTAAGTTTTTTAGATAAAAAAACTATAGAGTAGTTAAAAAGAATTGATATGTTCGAGAGATATTGCATATTGTTTGAAATTTGAATAAGTGGATGTTTATTTGATTTTATACAATAATTTTTTGGATAAATATTATTTATTTATATTTTGTTTGGAATAAGAATTACAAATATAAAAAATATATATACATCTATTAACAAATTAAATAAAAATATATAAATAAATTTTTTTTTATAAGATTTTAAATCTTTTCACTAAATGATGTAAAGTGTTATAATGAAGGTCACAACTCCCAATAAGAGTAATTTTAAACGAAGATCAATACAAGCCATCACCATAATTACGTCATTTTCTTTGGTTACCTTTTCTTTTACACAGATAACAAAAAAGAAACAAATTTCTCACAATGCAATGCGAGTAAAGTAACTAGCAATAATAATGAGGCAAGGTTATAAAGCATAATTACTAAAAATTAATTGCCCAAAACAATTTGTTGGATAAAAATAAAAGTCATATTTTTAGGTTAAATAAAAAAATAGTTATAAAAAAATAGCTCTTATACTACATATTTTTTGTCGATTTAGTATCTATAAAAATAAAATTCATAATTAAGTATCTGAATTTTAATTTCGTTATGTATTTTGATATTTTATATTAACAATTTTAATTAAGTTAGTGATATGGTATTAATATTTAATGTTGACTTGTAAAAAAATGTCATGTCATGGACAAATCAACATTAGAAGAAAATTTTAAACAAATCTAAAAAGAATCACAAAAATTCTAAATTTTTTTTTAAAGAAAATCTATAACAAATTTATGAAAAGTTATGAATTCAAAAACATAAAAAATATACATCCCGAAAATCTCTAAAATTTTTAAAACTTAAAAAAAATCCTAAAAAATATGAAATTTTTTTACAAAATTCCAAAAAATTGAACAAAGGAAAAATATGAAAAATATAAAATTCAAAAAATTCAAAAACAAATATGAAAAGCTAAAAAATTGAAAAATTAAAACATAGTAAAAATTACAAAAAAAAAATCTCAAAATTAAGAAAAATTTCAAAAAAGTAAAAAAATAGGAAAATAAAATTTTAAAATTTCATAGAAAAGAAAATTTTTAAAAATCCAAAAAAATAAAAAATAAAAAAGCAATCTAAAATATTAAAATATCTTGAAATTTTCCAAAAATATGAAAATTAATAACATCCCCGTTACAATAAAAAAATCTGAAAAGAATTTAAAAGTATCCCATAAAATGAAAAAAAAATGCTGAAAATTTTTTTTAAAAATTCCCAAAATATTCAAAAATATAAAACTTATAAAATTTTAAAAATTTTAAATATGAAAAAAAAAATCAACATAAAAAATGAAAAATAAAGTTTGGTCCTGTGCCATTTTTTTAGTTTTTGAATTTTTAGATTTTTTCTTTTATTTTCAATTTTCTCGGAAGTTTAAAATTTTTTTATTTGTTTTAATTTTTTTGGAATTTTTTTTCATAATTTCTAGAATTTTTTACAAATTTTTATTCATTTAGATTTTTAAATTTTCTCAAAATAAGTTTTTTAAAGTTTTTTCCCCTTTTGGTATTTGATATAAAAAGTTTTAGATCTTCTAAGCCGTTAGAGAATTTTTTAAAATTTTTAGATTTTTGAAAATTTCTAGGATTTGTTTTTAAAATTTTTAAAACACTTACAGAAATTTTTAAATTTTTTCTAACTTGAATTCCTTTTACTTCTTTTTAGATTTTCATAAAAATTTTGGAAACTTTTGGATTTTTAATTTTTCATATTTTTATTCTTTTTCAATTCTTGGAACTTTTTTAAAAAATTTGTAGAATTTATGAAAATTTTGGGAATTATTTTTATTATTTATTTATTTTTAAATTTAGGATTATTTAATTTTTTTAGGTTTGTTTAAATTTTTTAATTTGCAGGTCAAATTATTTTGAAATTTAAAAAAAAAAATTAGATTTTTTTAATTAAAATTTTTTTTTTATATTAATGGTATAATGATTATGTAATGATAATTAGATCTTTTTTCGCGTGTTATGAATTTATTAAATATTGATGTCAAGTAATTTGAATAATAATATTAGTACGAAGTGACCAAACGAAAATTTGGATACTTAATTACTATTTTATTTTTTTTAAGCATCCAATTGATTGAAAGGACAGAAAAGAAGGTCATTTTAGAATTTAACTCTTCCTTTTGGAGTTTCTTCTCCTTCTCATTCCTTTCTTTTCTCTGGGCTCTACTGGCCAAAGAGACGGAGGAGATTAATCCCAAAACTGAAAGAAGATCCTATCATTTCCTCCTCTCTTTGGGAGCTTTGTCCAAGTCTCTCTTCTCTTTTTTGACGATTTTAGGGTTTTAATTTTCCACAATTAACTCAAAAATGGTTAGTTCTGTTTTTTTTCTCTCTTTTTTTTTTTCTTTTAAGATTTTGGGTTTGTTGGTTTATGTTTAATTGCTGCTTCTTGTATAAAAATCGTTGTAGGTTAAAGTAGGTAATTTGGATGTGACTAAATCTGTAAATTCTGCTTCAGAGTTATTGTAGATATATATTTCACTGTGATAATTTTTACCGTGGAAAACCCCAAGGAATTTGAGTTGTAGAAAACAATGATGGAGTAAACTAACTGAAAAAAAGGTTGGTTTTTTTGATGAATTTGAAAAAACAAAAAAGAGCAGAAAAGAAAGAAGGAAGAGAATCATCACTCAGTGTTCTTTTTTTTTTTTTAGATTATTTTGATTTGTATTAAATTGTTTTTGGCTGTTGTCGATGGGTTTGAACCAGTTTTCTTCTGCATCTATAATATAATATAATGCCAATAGGTGAGTGAGTTGGTGTCACTCCAACTCTGTAAGTCTGTATTGTTTATTTAAATATTTAGCCCTGAGTTGGAGACGTACCCAACTCGGTACTAACCTTTTTTACCCATTTTTAAACTGTTAGCTCTTATTATTTTCTCTTCATTATATGAGATGTTAATTCTTAGGGATTAAATTTATCACATGATTTCTCTTCATTATATGGTTTTGTTGTTTTTAACAGCACAAACTGGGTAGAGGTCATCGGGACAAGGTCCAGCAGTTCATGACAATAACTGGAGCGAGGTATCCTGATGTTCTTTTGTGGTTTCACTGTTAATATTTGGGTTCTTCTGGGGTTTACTTTCAAAATCATTGTTAACAGAGAGGTAGTTTGAACATTGACTGAAAAAAAGCTTTACGAAAAGACGAAAATGAAGGGACAATAGACATCCTGAAAAATAGAGAGGATATTAATGGAAGGATAACTTAGTGCCTGAAACATGAAAATTCAGAGTGGAGAACATAGAAATAGGACATTAACTATTAATGACCATACAAGCTTCATTGAGCCCTTCATAATCAGCCTTGGCATGCCTTTCAGTGGATTTACAGGCAGCTGCAAGTGAGGAATGCTGGTTTTTCTTTTTCTTAGTCTTTTCCAATATCAGATTGATGAAAACTTGGCTTCAGCGTGTCTGCCTATCTCTTATATACTCATTATGACTGCTATACCGTCCTTATTTTTGAGCCTAAGCAATTGACCGATCTTGGAGTTTCACTAAAATGTTGAAATACATTTTCCTAATTCAAATATATATCCTTAGTTACCACAAATAGTGTTCATTTAAAATAGTAAGTAGCACTATTGAGATCATCACTTGGAACAAAATGGTTTCAAAAATGTTGTCTTTGCTAATTGGCAAGAATCTAAGGGTTTTTTTCTTTCTTTTTTTTCAGTTTTATCTATGTGGGTTACAATGGAGGCAATCTTGAATGATCGATCATTAGTACCTTGAATTAAACTTGAAAACTTCTAAATTCTATTAGGTTTGCTGAAAAGTAACTTATTAGAAGATGCTTATGCACTCTTTGATGTTTCATTTTCACAAAGCAGTACAAGTTACCAGAAAATCTTTGGAGCAACAAAAACTAAGTCAGATTTCTGTTTCTAGAACAATAATAGAAGATAACCACTCATGAACCATAATACCAGTAGCTAAAACAAGAAGCTACTTTCAAAAACCATGATGTGAACACTATTATCAAGCTTGACCAAGAAGATATTTGCTATTGGTTGGGCTTTAGAAGCCAATTTTTATTTGTCAGTTGTCACATGTTGAGAAACATTATCAATAGTCAATGATTGTAGCAAGTGTGGCTAGCAACAAACTAGGTCACATTGACTTAGGTGTTTATGTACGACTTGGTTATGTGTCTGCATGTTCTATTCACCTTCTACTTTGAACTTGCTGAGTTGACTAAAAGGATTATTAACAATAGGGTACTGACATGTGGATATGAATTGTAAAAATGTAAAAAATGTACAAGCGTAATACCTTACAGAAATGAGATTATTTTTAAAAAAAAATTTCTCTTGATGAAAAAAAAACACAAATAATCTTTTTCTTTTAAAACTTTTCCTTAATCAAATTCTTTTCTAAATAGTTCTTTACACCCAAAAATAGTTAATTTTTTTGTTTAATAACCACAACCCATATTTGAAGTTGGAATTTCTATGATCATCGGCTTGGAAAGACCCAAAGATTATGCAAACCTTTTGTTTCCAGTTGGACTATGACATTATGCTTTGTTATTTCAATTTTCAAGAAAATGTAGAACTGTTTTTGGAATGGATTTATTGGCCTGAAAATCAAGAACTTTTTTGAACCCTAGTTTGAATGAAAAAACCCTCCAACCTCCCTTCTTTTTCATCTAGATGAACAAACTTGAAATCCCTCCCTCCTTCCCTCTCTCTCTCTCTCTCTCTTTGTGTGGCAAAATCAAGGTTGTGAACTTGTGGTTGAGCCTTGTTTTCTGCCATTTTTTTCAAGCCAGCTAACTATCAACAGAGGCTGAGAAGCCCATATCTCAACAACAGTGATGGCCCAATGAAAAGAATTGACCTGACAATCTCTTTCCAATCTCCACATCTTTTCTTGTTTGTACTTTTTAGATTACCTTGATATGAATAAGTCAAGTCCTAATATCTGCTGCTGTGTCAGATGGAGATTTCATACCCGCACCTGCGCTGTATGTGTTGATGCATGTATTGCACAATAAAGTGCTTAGTCCACATAAAAGTAGCATTAACTATTTTGTGGATTGCTAATGATTGCTATTGTCACTAGTGGTTGCTACTTGCTATGGAAAACATTTAATGGAAAACAAAAGACTCTGGTAGCAATGTCATTCTTCTCAAAGATTCTTCTCTAGGGGAAAATTAATAAAACAAGTTACTCTAGTTTCTAAGAGAAATTGGATGCTAGATGCTCATTTTGTTGTATGATTAGCATATAATGGAGAGATTTTGATGTATGATATAAAATAAGGAGGAAAGAGAAAATGAATAAGAAATGTGTAAGATGAGAAAGAGAAAATGAATAAAAAACGTGTAAGATGAGAAAGAGTTAATAAGGTGATCTTTTGGCGTAAGCTAGCCTTTTATGCTTTTCTTCACTTCCTGTCTTGGTGTCTAAGATGAATATAAACCTAATCTCTGGTGTTGTCTTTGATTCCTTGACAGCAGCTTCTGCCTACAAGGGGCTTTGATGCTCCTAAGGGCTGCAACTTATTGGATTTATGGTGAGATGGTTTTTAAATCATCGTAATAATTAACAAGAATATGTTAATACGAAAATCATCTAAATCTAACACTGATGACATGTTCCTAGAAAACAGATAGATGCTTCACATTTGGTCTTTTTTTTAGCTGCTGTCTTGACTCTTGATCACTATAATTGTTGGTAACACTAATCACTATATCTTCACATGCATACTCGTGCTTTTTTTTTTTTTTCCTCCGGTTACCATGTTAAAATTACGGGTTTGCAGTCTCTAATAAAGCTTCTATGCATTAGTGATGATCTCCTTTTCAGTTCTCTTGTACATGAATTTTATTCATTTCTTTATTTAATTGCAGTGAAAAACTTGCTCTTCAAGCTTTGAAGGCCAGTGATTGGCATCTTGAAGGAGCTTTTGATGTTTTCTACAGCCAGCCCCAGATTAAAAGTTATACTGATACCAGACATTTGGAAGAGCTTTATAACAGATATAAAGGCAAGCTTTTTTTATTTCTTTTTTTTTTTCCTCTTCACATTTTGTAGTTTATAATTTCTTTATAGCTCTCTTTAGGGCCCTTAAAAAAAATAATACTATAAAGATGCGGATAGACTTGCCTTAATTTTGTAGTTATGTTTGAGTTTAGTATTGTAGATGGAAGAAGGCTGCTGAACTTCTATTGTTTATTGGAGATATTGATATGTTCTTATTTTGATTTTGTGAAATCTAGAAATTTATTATCTGCTGCTTGCTTTCCATTATTAATGCTTTGGCTATGCTTTCATAAAAAATACTTCAATGTTTTATTCAGATCCCTACACAGATATGATACTGGCTGATGGTATTACTCTCCTATGCAATGACCTCCAGGTAGCCTTTTTTTATCAATTAAATTTGATGCCTGACATTTTTAGACCCCCTTGCTTTGCTTTTCTATTATTTCATTTATAGATAAAATTATGTCTATTTCAAAATTTGGATGACACATGGGAACCTTCATTTTTTTGACAGGTGGACCCCCAAGATATTGTTATGGTATGTCTGCATCCCGAAGCACAATCTCTTGTGATAAATGCATTCATATGATGAAGATTTGTTATTTTTCTGCATGTGTATTAATCTCATTAGCTTACATTTTGCCCAAGGTTCCAAAGTGTTAATAAAAGGTCTTAGAATCCGGCTGAGGTTGTTGGCTACTTTTATCACATTTTCCAATGATCTTTTACACTGCATGTGTGGGTTGACCACGGTCGTTTTTTTTCTCGTTGTGAATACTATTAGATTCAAATTTCACATGCCATAATAGTAGTCTTGACAAATGGTGATATAACTCTTTCTAAATTATCTTTTTAAATACCTGGTTGGACTTAAATGTTCTGCAATTTAGAGTTTGTGAGAGCAAGGTTTTGGCATTAGCTAAAGCTAATGAGGTATAAGAATAGTAAGGTTCTGAATTTTTCATTCATCAATTCTGGCTAGCATAGTTGTTCAATCTCATATGGTAATGACTGATGAAAATGATGACAGGTTTTGGGTACTTGAGATTAAATGTTATACCAAACTATTAAAAGAAATTTGGATATGGTCATAAATAATTTGAATCTTGTAGGAGGTTTCACAAGATGCCATTGGATATTTACAAGTTGTTCCTATCTGGTTTCAATATTTTGTGAACAATTATGCTAATAATGTAGTAAATTGCAGTTAGTTGTTTCATGGCACATGAAGGCTTCTACCATGTGTGAATATTCCAAGCAGGAGTTCTTCATTGGGTTGCAGGCACTAGGGTGAGCATTTATATCTTACTTTTTTTCTAATCTTCTTACTTGAAATGATATTAGATTGGACATTTGACCTACTAAGATGAGAATACTGAAAGAAAGTTTTACATTTTCATGGCAGGATAGATTCTTTGGAGAAGTTTCGTGAGAGGCTATCATTCATGCGCTCTGAACTGAAAGATGAACGTATGATCAATGCTTCATAGAGTATAATTTGCAGTATTCAATTAAAAAATTATTTTAACTTGTCATGCATCTTGCATATGGCCGAAGAAGCTTCTTTTATTTAGATATATATGCAGATAATTAGCTTTTGTCAAATAGGTTAGGTTTATTAATATGTTATGACTCTTAAGTAAAACATATGCTGTTGTTGGTGATGCACACTTGTTTTCTTCTTTGCTTATTGTGACTGCAGAAAAGTTTCGGGAGATATATAACTTTGCATTTGGCTGGGCAAAAGAAAAGGTAACTATCTTGTCATTTCAACCATCCTTAATAGTAAGTTTTCTCTAGGCAGAGAGATAATTTGCGGCTAATTGAGTAAATAGTTTCGGTAGAGTTTGTTTGGATGCAGATTACATTTATTTCTGGAAATATGTTTCTTTTCCTTTGTCAGAGACTGGCTTCCGGACGTGGTTATTCCTGTGTTAGATCCATTTTTGGATGTTTAGGTTATAGAAATAAAAGTTTTGGCCTTTATATTTATTTTTGTTCTCTGCTATATATTTAATAGTAAATCTTCTTTGAATCTGATTTAATTCTTTCAGAATTTCAACTAGAACGACAGTGTGCTGAAAAGATACATTAAGCCTTGATAGTAATGGGTAGTTGAGCTGTATGCAGGTACTGATCTTTTATTTTCCATCTCAGGGTCAAAAATCTTTGGCATTGGATACTGCAATTGGTATGTGGCAGTTACTGTTTGCTGAGAATCAATGGCCATTGGTGAACCATTGGTGCCAGTTCTTACAGGTACCTTAGAAACATATTGTGCTCTTCCCTTCCTAGTTTTGTTAGAAAATCCTGTTGGAATATGCTGCGAGAAATATATGCTCACTAATTCAGGAGTAGTCATTTCTAATTGACCTGCAATAAAATAAATTGTATGCTTGAAGTAATAATTCTAAGGTATAATGTACATTTTTTGTTTTTAAATTAAATTACGAACGGATGTGCTACAACACTGCAAAAAGTGATAATGCATAATTTTGCTGCTACCAAAGGTCTATTCTTTCTTTAAGTTGAGTAGGTCTTGGATAGCTATCTTAGTAGGAATATCTTTAGCATGAACTTATAGCTGAAAATTTAAAACAATCAGGAACTAGGTGTGCTATTTATTTATTTCTTTCATAAAAGCTGCAAGTTTTGCATTGATGATAAGCTCCGCAAAATTGCATGTACTATCCCTGTGTCTAGCCTTGTCAGATACTATGAAATTTAATGTGGTTGCTTGGATTTCTTCTGTATCAGTCTCGACTTGTAGTTGTTTTTCTAATTGTATTTTATGCTCTGATGTCATTCGAACCAGGCCCGACACAATAAAGCAATCTCTAGGGACACATGGTCTCAACTTTTGGAGTTTGCTAGGGTAAGTTAAAAAGCTTCAATATCAGCCTCTTGGATATTCCTTCTTGCATATGCAGTTGAATCAGCTTTTTTCTGTCATCAACTGCACATTTCTTTTAATGTCGTTTGTGATGCAGATGGTAGACCCTGCACTGTCAAATTACGATGCAGAAGGTGCTTGGCCCTACCTTATAGATGAATTTGTGGAATTCTTGAATGAGAATGGCATCATTCGGTCCGACTGATTTGTTGTGAACAATTGCTGGGATGATAATATATCATTGCGGAATTTTTTGCACTCTGTGGCTAGTATGATCTTTGTTGTGATGCCAATGTGAAGTAGTACCTGTTTGATCTTCTCTGGTTTATATGAATTTCTAGTGACAATTCGTACACACATTTTTAGTCCATATGATGTATGCATTTTCTTTCAAATTAATCGTCTGAGTTTGGTTATCGGGGCCTGAAAATTTTTCAAGTAAATACATGTGATTTACGATCACAGCCTGAAAAGCAAATATAAGAAAAAAATATTTTTTGAACGTCTAAAACAAATATAATTTTGGTTTTCAAAGTAAAGAAAAAAAAAGATTAATATACCAAAAAGAAAAGTGATTAACAATGCCTCCTATAACAGCACTCTTTCAAACCACTAAATTTCAGGAACAGGAAAGCATCTGCTAAAATTTCTCAGATGGCAACCGCTATCCTTCCCGCTACTTGGTCCAGATCACGCTGGCCGTTAGATGTGATTCTCCTACCACTGATACACACAATTAATTTTAGTTCATAATATGCAACAGTAAACACAGAACAACACAAGTCAACTATTCTACTTGTATGATTTCTTGAATTTTAATAATTTAATCTTTTCTATATGTTCTTGTTATGCACTAACTATTAAAAAGAGGAACACAATAATTAAAAAAAAAAAAAAAAAAAGACACTGAAATCTAATGTTTCAATCATTCTGACTTTCTTCCTATGATCCCACAAGAAATTAATATAAAATTTCTTAAAGAGATTAGGCTTTGGCTGCATATTAAAAGTTATATCTGGTAAAATTATTAGCATAAATTTTGCATCTTAAAAAAAATGTATGCTCTGCTTTCCCACTATGTATAGCTATAACACGATATAAAAATGATACAAAAACAAGACAAAGAAAGCATGATATGAATTGTAACACAAAAATTTTCGTATTGTAAAATACGAAATAAACAAACATGTATATAAAAAATTTACTATAAATAAGTAAATATTACTGGGATTTTAGGCATACATATACATGTTCCCCAAAAACATCAACCCAATTGAAGAATTATTGTTTTACAAGAAATATGTCCAATAGGCTGAAACAGAAAATTACTCCGATCATATCGCTAGCAAAACATGTCTATTTTTGCCTTTTAAAAAGGTGGCAATGAGTGAATGATACTAGCCAGATTGCTTTCTCAATTACTTTCATTTTCATCGATGACCAACTACCTTAATATCAACAAATCAGTAATGCCAGTTGCAATCGCATATTATGAACAAAGAAAACTCACCCTTTAGGATCAATATCTATGATGTTCACATTCTGCAATTGCTGAAGTATGTGACGAGCAACAGTTCCACTGCTCTTACAGAAATGGCGTGGCCGACTTCCATTTCTCTTAGCCCCTCCGTAAATCCTCCTAAAGGCACCAACACCAAGACCTCCCCTCATGTATATTTTCCTAGCCATGGAAGCTATAAAGTAACAGAACATAAAATATGAATACAATGACGGATTAATATTGATTGATAGGGCGATAAATATACCTACCAGCTCTGACATAGTACCAGTCAGGGTCATAGGGAGGAAGCTCCTTGAATTTACCAGTCTTGACAATATCAGTCCATGGAGGAAGCTCGATCTGTTCTTTTTTTTTTTTTTAACATATAAGAAAAAACAAACAAGACATAAAATTAGTGAAACATGAAAAGATTCAGCATCTCTAACAATCAAATGGGGAATAAATTAGTGAAGAAAAACCTTGCCGGAACGCTTGAGATGGGCGGCGTAAGCCTTGACGAAATCGTGAGGGGAAACGTCCTTAACTGTTCTCGCTGCCTCCATTTTCTCTCTTTATCTGCGGCAGCAGAGACCTCACCTTTTGGCGCTTACGTTGCGATATGTGTTCCTGCTGCCAAAATACACTTTATATAACAAGATTTAGGGGGAATTAGGATTTGGGAGATTCTATATTAAAAAAAAAAACTTTTACACCTCGTTATTTTTCTTTCAAAAATACCAAATGTGAAATAATTTATGTCTTTTTGTAAATTATATTTTTAACCCTTTACATTCATTTACATTTCGTTTCTGGCCATTTCCACTTTTTTTTTCTTTTTTTTTTCTTTCGTTCTACTTTTTTTTTTCCTTCTACCTTCTTTTCAAGATAAAAAAAAACCTTAAATCTTTAAATCAATTCACAAAATTTTGAAACAATTATTAAATCATGTAAAAATAGATAGACAAATGAGAAATAAAACTAGAGGTGATGATGAGCAATTCAATGAGATAATTCATTTTAACATTCATTTTAAACTAAAAATTTGATATTTACGAAAATAGATATTTAAAATGTATATTACATTATTGAATATGCATATTCGATCTATTTTTTATGTTACCAGATAATGCATATCCGGTAATACAATATAATTCTTAGATATGTATTTTCAAAATCATATTGCATTATCGAATATGCATTTTCGATAATGCAATATTCATTTTGGATATTCATTTTTGGTAATATAAAAATTATCCTTGATATAAATATCCAACAATGCAAAATTGGTTCCTATTTCCACTTCCTAATGGTATTATTATAATTTTTTGACATCTTGTAATGTGTAGATCAATTTGGGAACTACGTTGATAGAGTAGAATCAATCACTAGAAAATTTATATATTATATATGATTGCATAAATTCATTTACTATGAAAAAGGTAAAATTATATTTTTGAACTAGTTTTTAATGGAGGTATAAAATATTAGTTTGTATAAACATAATAAGTTAAATATGTTGTTTAGGTGTTTTATAATAAAGAAGCCCTAATTTCATAAGTTAGACAAGTTGAATGTGATTGTGATTAAAACTCTAAATTGGGAGGCCTAAAGAAAAAATTTAGAATAAGTTGGCATGTGAATGAAGTGAAAAATACAAACAGCAAAAGAATAAATGCAAGGTAGAAGAAATTCAACGTAAGAGAATGAAATGAAAAAGTGTGGTTGCCCATTTGAGTTAAATGGGATTAAGTTAACAATTAATGATAAGTGTAGCATGAAAGTAGCCTATACGTTTCACAATCATCTACCAGTAAAACAATTAAAGAAAAATTAATTTGCATGTTGATCATTTAAAAAAAAAAAATGGTGGCTAATATGTCAAATAGTATGGCCAAACTCATGAACATATTATTGATCATAAAACAACATGATGAGAAGAAAGTCAACACTATAAAGATAATATACAATGAACACAAAAGATACAAATATGTTAAGAAAGCTGATAGATCACAAATACAACGACTTATGAAAAAGTTAATCGATTATAAATACCTAGAATGACATAAGATTAACAAGTTAAACAATTATATGACAGACTTGTTTTGGGCTCATCTTACTGGTATAGATTTGTTGCAAGCCTTCCCAAGTATCTTGATTATAGATTTAACCTATAAAACAATAGTACCATCTCTCATTACTTGGAATTGTTAGTGTAACTTCCACAAAAATGATATTTTCTATTGCATTTGTGTCCATGGAGGCTGAGCATTTTGATAAACTACAGTTGGGTATTGAATAGGTTAAAAAATTTGATAACTAATGGTATAATTCCTATTTTCGTTGTTACTTATAAAGATTTGTCATTGATGAATGTAATAGAGGCTATTTTTCCCAACAAGGTAAATTTTATGTGCAAATTGCATATCTCAAGAAATCAAGAAATGTGATTGCAAATTATAAGAATTTTTTTAAACAGAAAGAGAAATGAGAGACATTCATGTTAGTTTGGAATGTTCATGTCTTTTCTTCTATTAATGGTAAGTATTGTAGACACTGAATTTGTCTAAAATATTTTATCATGGTTAACCTAGGCCTATTTACAACCATAAAAGATTTGGCCTATTTAGAAACCCAAACAAAGCCCATTTGAAGACTATAAAAGGCCATTTTAAGAGCCCATAAAATACATCGATATTTAGACCTATAATAATAAAAAAAAACCCATATAGTTCCTATCAAACTCTTTCGTATAAGATTTATATAGATCATATCTTTTCACGTGCATGTATAAAAAATAAAGAATAAATGACACGAGTAAACCCCTAAGTCAATTTTGATCAAAATTACACAAATTTTGGTCAAAATGAATAGAATCGGGATCAATCCTTAAAATTCACAATCTAATTTGAATCAATGTGGTTTAAAATTAAATTTAGTGATTTTTAAAATACTAAAAATTTTTATTGCATTGGGGAAAGTATAAAATTACTAAAATGGGCTTTATGGGGTATTTTCGTAATTTAGAATTCTGGAGCTTGGATTCTCATGAAACTTTTCAAATCTTAATTTTATAATATTTCATGATTTTTGGTGCATTTGAAATCATAGCAATACCCCAAAAAGTGTGAAACTATCAAAATACCTTTATAAAGGTATTTTCGTAATTTGACCTTCTCGAACTCAAATTTTCATGAAACATTCTAGATCTTAATTTTATAATATTCATAATTTTTGGTGTTTTAAAATCTAAAAAATGAGCATGAGAACATTGATTTCTAAGAAAATAGCCTAAATCTAAAAAATTTTGTATTATGGGTAAAATGGTCTTTCCATTGGTTTAGAGGCTATAAAAATCTAACATTTGCAGTGAATAATGTGAACTATTAGATCTCTCATTGATCTTGATCCAATAAAAAAAGTTTGTTCCTTGAAAAGATAAAAAGAGAAACTTTGACCCTTTGATGAGATCTAATCTAAAGGTTAATATTCACCAAAATGATTTTTTTTTTTTTAGGGTTTAATTCTTTGAAGGGAGAGGGGGTCTATTGAAAAAAAAAGGAAAGAAATAAAAAAAGAAAAAAAAAAGAGCTTTCTAAAAAAAATACACTTTGATATGCTGAAGGTTTCTTTGAGAAAATCAAAGAGAAGAAACAAAGAAGATTTCTTGGTGGCTAAAAAATGAGGTCTCGCAACTAGGGAAACTCAAGAAAAGAAAAACTTAAAAGAAAAGTGGGAACTTGACAAAGGAAAAGAAAATTGTAGCTCTTAGGGAATTTTTTTTCTTTTTTTTTGAATAGATAGTTCCTTCATTTCCATTTCAGTTTTTTTTCATAAGAACACTGTTGTCTTATCCCTTCATGTTCACCTTTTTTTTTTATTTTTGCATATAGTTATATAGTGCATGCTATTTCGTTTGAAGTTTGAAGTTTATTTTTTTTCCTACATACTAAACCTTATTGAATGTGGTCTATCTATTGATTTTTGAAACTTCATCCTTTGCATGAGTGTGTTGTTCTTCATTTCAATAAGTAGTTTGTGTGTAGAAAAGCTTCTTTTTTATGTTCATTAGTTCATTATATAAATGATATTTATTACTAGTAAGTGATTTATAAGGAGAAAAAGCTAAAAATTTTAAATGTTTATGGGCCTTCTTGGTGGTCCATTGTTTTTAAACTTACACTGGTTTACAGACCTTTTTTTTATGAAATGGTTATTTGTGAAAAAGCCAATCCCTTCTTGTTTTGGTTTAATTGGTAACAATGTTGTCATCCTCGATCCCTAAATTTTTTTTTATTTGTCTATGAGTTTGAGACTTCATAGTTGGTTATTTTAGTTTTTGATATTCCTAAGAGTGAAGGATAGTTCATGATTGAAGAAATGGGTAAACATCAAGAGCCATGGTTAAGGTCTATGGTTTTTAGGTTGTTAAACAGATTGGGACTCATCTTTTCTTCTTGCATTATAACCATTAAATAGTAAAAAGAAGATAGAAAAAGGGGGGCGATTATGTCAGTTTAGTGGGAGTACTTCCTTTCTAATTAATAAACCAAGGTCTTGAAACTTAAGTCCATGCATTTATTTATTAGTAGATTTTTAGTTTTATGCAAGTTTCATATCATTTATGTTCATACAAATTTTTTTTATATATTTAATTGCAATTCAAACATCATACATGCTTAATTTACTTATTAAGTTTTTCTACTTTCAATTTTTTTTTTCAAATACAAATTAAATTTTTGATGATGGGACTCTAAAAAATCCGAGTAGTTATTTTTGAGAATTCTTTAGATGAGAAAAAATTTCTAAAATTCACTATTAAAAACTCTTTTCAATACAAATTTTTTAAATTAATTTGAATAATTCTCTTAAAAAGATTAAAAAATAAAAATATTTATAAGAGCATGAATTTTTTTTAATAAAATTAAGTAATGAGAATTTTCGATGATGGGATTTCAAAAAATTTAAGTAGTAATTCTTGAGAATTCTCCATGTGAAAAAAATCTTCTAAAAATTGTCAAAGTATTAGAATATTTAGAAGTTTCTTTTCAATATAAAAATTTTTCATTTTATAATTAGTTTATTTAATTTGAACAGTTTTCTTAATAAATAAGAGTATGTTTTTTTAGGAAATAAATGTGTTTGTAGAAAATTATATTATTACATGACTTTTAATAATTTTAAAAAAAATAAAAAATCTCCTAAGATGAGATCTTAAAAAAATTCAAGTAGTGATTCTTTATGAATCTTTAGTAAGAAAATCTATTTAAAATATCGTCAGTGTATTGGAGCATTTAGATTAATTTCCAATAAAGATTTTTCGTTTTTGTTTTATAAATGGCATAGAAATGAGTTTTAGAAAATACTATTTGCTTTAAAATTATAGATATCATATTTTATGTTTTTTAAATATAAATGATGATAATAAATATAAACCATCGAGGATAAGATTTTCGAGAATTTCGAGTAGCGATTCTTGAAAATTCTTTAAGTGAGATGGTTCCTTTTAATATTGTCAAAGTATTGAAATATTTTTTGAAATTTTTAATATGTAAGGTTCTTATTTATTTTTCAAGCATACTAAAAAATAAAAATATGTTTTTAAA